GAAACCTTCGATCAAGTTTCCCTAGTGTTCTTTTTTTTTTAAATATGTGCTTTGGTTTACAAACATTTTAATTACCCAGATCTCTTTAGGAATATACCTATTTTAAGAACAGGGCATATGAGAGAGAGGATTTTCATGCTGAGAAAGAAGGGCAAGCATAATAAGCAGCTCATAAGATCTCTTTAGTTATTAATTGTGAAGAGTTTTATAATATGCACAAATCTACTAAATATTAAGCAGATTTATGCTTAGTTACTTGACCATAAATTAGTAATTGTAAAGGGAGAATTTTATCAGTAGTGCTCCTACGTCTAAATGGTATACCTATATATAAATATATGATACTTGTATAAATGATAGTTATATAAAATATATAATACAAATATTTATGTGCTTATAGTACATTTCATTAAATATTTATTATACATTTGTATTGAAAATGTATAATACTAATCAAATCTATGCGATCAAATAATAATATACATCAAATAATAATGTATATTATTACATACTTCTTTAACTGTGAAATGTGGGTCAGAGACTAAAGTAGGTTATAGAAATGGTCACAAATTCCTCTCATCCTTATATCCTTATATGCACATCCCTTGCCATGTGACTTCGCCATTCTCATCAAGAAGGGGAGCCTGTTTCACTGCTTCCTGACTCTTGACCCTGGTTTGGCCACGTGATTGCTTTGGCTGATGGGATATCAACAAACGCAATGGAAAGCAGAGGCCCGCACTTTGGGTTTTGCCTGCTCCTGCAGATCTGGGAACCCTGCCACCACTGTCACATGATCTAGTCGGGGCTGGCCCCCTGAAGGATAACAGGTCACGTGGCCACATGAGCTAGCACAGCTCAGGCCTGCTAGGCCAATTAGCCTGCCAATCACCAGACCTGTGAGGGACCACCCTAGATCCTCCTGCCCCAGCTGAGCAGGCGGAGGCCAGAAGAGCCACCAAGTCGACCAGAGGCTCATGAGAAATAATAAAATGTTTATTGTTTTAAGCCACAAAATTTTGTGGCGGTTTGTTATACAGCAACAGCTAACTGATACAGGGACCACATCGCGTAATGAGTCCTTTTCTCCTCTTTTCTCTTTATCCATTCCAAAAACCTTGGCTAAAATGTTTGGTTTATTGGAGCCACAGTTACCACAAACATATCTTTTGTTTTCTTCTAATTCCAAAATCTCTGATTCTCTTACATGATTAAGCTTCCTTTCTCAGTTATGGTCTTTCCAGAAGAAAGGGGCTGGGGAATAAAGGCAATGAAAAGGAGGCACGATGAGAATGAGAGTGAGAAGGGAGCTGACAATGTGAACTAAGGTGGTGATGGTGGGTGCTGTGGGGTGATGGTGGGGTGCTGAGGCAAAAAAGAGGCCTCGGTATAGCTCATGATGTGTTGACTAACTTGCTGGGAGAAGTTCCCTCTACTAAATCAAAATCTTTATGAAACTCCCTGGCCCTGACCCCACATGCCCCACCTTAAACTGCAAACACACATTCTAAAATTCCTCTTCTATTCCAGTCCTTAGTTCCTCTCAATCTTTGTCACTATCCAAAATACAGCTTTCTGTGTGGGTCATTAGGATGACTTGGGTCGTAACTGACAGAAGCCCAGCTTGATCTGAAAAGTGCAGATCAGGCAGGATTGAATCCAGTTGCTCCAAGGATGCCCTCAGGGCACCGTCTCTTCTGTCTCTGTATGTCTGTCTTTTGGTTCTGCTTCCTCTGTTCGACCTCCCCAGATCTCTCCGTCCCTGACCTATCTTGTGAGTCCTGCTGTTGAGTGGTGGCCACTGTCTCTCCTGTCTCCCTCTTGAGTGACCAAGCCCTTCTCCCTCTCCCCACCTGTTACTCTGTCATGTTAAAGGCACTGAGATCCACCAGATTTCCCAAACCAAAAACTTAGAAATCATCCCAGACCTCTCTATTAGTCCCCACATGTAATAGATTTTAGACCCAAGTCATGTCTACCCTTGGGGAAGGAACTGATTTTCCTTCTCCACGGCCACTGCCACTAGGCTTTGTCATGCATTGTTCTTCCTATCATAGGAGAAAAAAATTTCTAACCAGTCTTTGCTCTGCTTCCTACCAACCGTACTCCACGCCTGGAGTAATCCATTAAGAAGGTAAATCTGAGTCTAGTATTCCCTTCTTAAAATCTTTGCCTATGGAACTTGTACGAGCAGATCCACACATTCGAGGTACACATGATCCCATTGGGCAGTTTTTCCAGTTGATCACCTGAACCCCCAGCTATCCTGCTGGCAGGGAGCCCGGTTATTTTAGCTTGAGTTCCCTAGAAATAGAGCCTAAACTGAGAATCAGTGTTAGTTGTCACTTTAGGGCCGTCCTTGTCCCTGCCCCTGGGCTGGGGCTGAGCCCACTTCAATGCACCCTGCCTGGCTGGCCTAGCTTAACTGCAGCACAGGATCTTGGGTCAAGAGATTAGGGACCGGTGCTTTTCCTCCTTAGAAGCCCAGGCCCCTCAGGCAAATTGCTGTGCCCAGTGACAAGCTCTACCTATCTGGGCCTCAGACTGGGGGTCTTGATCTGGTCACAAAAGATTCTTTTAGATCCGAGGTCAAAAACTCAAATGCCTATGGGAGCCAAAAGACTGACAGACAGGGCAGCCACCACTCAACAACAACCAATTATTACCAGCCAGGAGCTTGGCACTCACAGGAGCCACATCTGCAGCTTTTTCAGAAGCCCCAAATCTTGATTTTTATGTGAGATATTCAGATTTTAAACTGTTAGCCAGATTTAAAAAAAAAAAAAAAAAAAAAAGAGCCAGCAAACAAAATGTGTTGGGGTTGGGGGAATCCTTATCTGTCCTAGGAGCTGTCTGTGAATTTGTTTTTATGCCCTAATCCCATAACAATGGATGCCCACTTGCCCTATATTTGCATAACTATGGGGCCCACTGCAATGAACTGGGACTGGACAAAGATCAGCTGCGAACTGGGTACAAAAGGTTCCCTGATTTCAAGATAGTCTAACCTCCTTCAGGGTGGCCTGTGTGGCCTCCCTGACCTGGCTCCTACCCTGTCCCGCCGCCTTTCCGTAACCCCTCTTCCCCACACCGGTTCACACCTCCCGCCTTGCTGTTCCCTGGGCTGTCTCAGAGGCCCGTCCACTACCAGTTATCTACCAGCACTCTCACCCTCCTTCAAAACGCCTCAAACACCCTTCCTCTTCTGCTTATCCCGTGTTTCAGGGCAGTTACCCACGGCCCGAAAGCAGCGGTTTTCAACTGGTGCGCCACAAGAATTTTTAAAACATGCAATATCTTCCTATTTAGTTTGGGGCACTGACCTCTTTTCCCTTAGGTTGTCAGATAAAAACAGCCAACACAACAACTGCCATCTGGTGCGAATAAATCAAAATTATACCTATTTTTTGTTAGATAGGCAAAATATTTCCTTGGTATGCTGCAGAGTTTTAGTCATTAGTTTATGTGTGCCATGAGATAAAAAAAGGTTGAAAATCGCTGCCCTACAGTTTTCTTTAGGGACCTGTTGCCCACCCAGAGAACCCACAGAGGTCAGGAACCACCGCCTGAGAGAGTGCCTGGTACTTTAAATGCAGGTTAAAGAAATGGGCATAGTCTGAAAAATAATGAGCCTGACATTGCTTTTCACATGCCAGAAATCCATTTATGAAGAACTGCTCATTTTATTTTGAGAAATTAGGTTAAATTTTGGTGCTTAAGAGAAGGGGGGAAAGCCCTCTGTGTACTTTCATTTTTAAAAGGAGCATCAATGTGTGACATACAGTTGAGAGAATAAGTTTTCAGATTTTCTCAGCTTTGGACAGAAGTGAGGCTTCTAAAAAGAGTTCTAGAATTAGACAATGACTAAACTGGTCATGCTAGCTTTTCGCCCCGAATTCGAACGTCCCTAAGCCTCTCAGAGTTGCGGGTATGTGCTGCCTCCGAGGGGAAAGGGAACCAGCTCCTCTAAATGAAATTGCACTTGCACAGAGGTGGCGGCCCGCGGTGGCCCACGGCGGGCGGAGGGGGGGTGGGGGTGGGTGGGTGGCGAGAGCAAGCAACCACACGCTCAAGACCCTTTGCATAACCTACTCTTAAATTGACTGAGGCTTGTAGAGATACACTGAAACTCCAGAGGCAAACTCTAAGCGGCTGCATTTTCTCGACAAGGTTTCCCAGCTCTGTCAATCATTTCCTGCTTTCTCTGCCTCTGCAGCGAGTGCACAACACACAAGCTTGGGTGGACCGCTGCCCTGACATTGAGCCTCTTTCCTACCTTAAGTGGAGCACCTCAGGAAGCCACGAGCTTGACGTTTCATTCATAATAAATGAATTCAAGGGAGGAGGGAGGCAGGGACAAGAGCCTTTCATCTCTGCTATTTAAAATCCCAGCATTGCTGCTGAAAGGGAAAATGACCTGGGAGTGAACTGCATCGGGGCTGAAGTATTGCACGATAACGGTACGAGCCAGCGCGTCAGCGGCCCGCCCGCCGGCTATTTATACCCAGCAGATTATGCAATCTGGCTCCAGCCATTCATGCCCAGACTGGAACAACCAGCGCCGGGTGGGGGAGGGCACCATTCCCGGGTGCCGGGTCAGATTCTAAGTTTGCATCATCCCTTTCATTACGAGAGAGCTTGGGTTTCTGTTCGTGCCAGCGGGTCTTGGGGGAGACAGCTGGGCTACAAAATTGCTTGGCACACATTGGCACACACGACCGATTATTTAAACATAATAATAAAGGCACCCGAGCGCCCGAGGCGCGGCCCAGCAGCGCGCAGGGCAGGGCTGCGGGCAGACCGGAAGGAACTGATAAACTGAGCGCTAATGACACCTTCTCCCTCCCTCGTCGGAAGTGTCCTCCAAGCGCCAGTCATTGAGAAATACCGAAGGGGCAGAATGGGGGTGAGATGAGGACAGGCCCCAGCGCAGCTGCGCGCGCCTCGCCCGCCGCGTCGTGGGGGCGGGGGGAGGGGGTCTCGGGCCCAGCCGCACATACCTTAGGGTACAGTGGCGTCCTCTCCAAGTCACCCCTCTCCCCAAGAGCGCCCGTGGTGGGGAAGGGGTAACGGTGAGTGATTTGTCGGATCCTACCCTGCCACCCCACCCCGGGGAGACTTCCGGCCCTACGGGACCCCGACGGGCTAAAAGTGAGAGAACGAAGGGCACGAAAGAGAGAGCAGATTGCCAAGAAGGATAAAATGTCCTCTTCTCCCAGGACCCACGCGGGCCGCGAGGAGGCGGGGGCCGCGGCTGCCTTCGGAGTAAAACAAGACCTGCGGGTCTACTGAGCATGCCCGTCCCGGGGCCACCGAGGGTCGCTCCTATTCCGCGCTCCGGGTTTTCCCGGAGGCTGTGGAGGGGGGGGGAGGGGGGACGGGGGGGGGGTTGCTGCCCCCGCCCGGGACTCTGGATTGAGAGGCTGGTGGAGGGGTGGGGGGGTTGGTGTCTTGCTGGGCCTCCGCCAGGTTTGCGTGAGGTTGTGAGTAGATCGACATTACTTCTGAAGCTGTACGATCGCACTGTGAGTCGACACCCTTGATTGATCCTGTTCAGAGCTGCGTTGCCCCTGCTTTGCCCCGTTTTGTCTCGGGAGGAGACAGAGATGTGGATGTTTAGCTCTTTCAGTAATGCCATTAAATTAAAGCCCGAAACCCATGACAGCCCCAATTCTGGTAACAATCTAGAAGACTTTGATAACACCATCATATTCAGATCAACAAACGCATCTGAGTTATTCGCCCAATGTGTCATTTATTCATGAACTGCCAGGAGCACAGTTAGTAGTAACTGATGGGGAGGATCAATAGGTGACCTACTAGGAACTTCCATCAAAAGGCCCCTTTTGGGTAATGAGCAAGGCAGAAGAAAAGTAGGACGTTTTCTTGAGAGGAATGTGAAGTACTGGGATTGGAATGGGGAGCATTTAGTAATCCAGTTGCCTAGAAAGAAGAAAGGGTTGCTATTAATTTTCTTTTTTTAAAGATATTTCTCTCTTCTTTAAAAAGATTTTATTTGTTTTTAGAGAGGGGAAGAAAGAGAGAAACATCAATGTGTGGTTGCCTCTGGTGCGTCCCCCGCTCCTTCTGCAACCCAGGCATGTGTCCTAGGCTGGGAATGAACCAGCAACCCTTTGTTTGGCAGGCTGGCACTCAGTCCACTGGGCCACACCAGCCAGAGTGTAATGTTTTATTTGCAGTGTGCTTAACACAGTACCCTCACCTTATAGCCATTTTATCTTCCCAGCAACCCTATTTGTGAGTATTATCCTGACACTGAGGCTCAGAGAACCTAAAATCCTGCTGGAGTCTGGCACAAGGGCAGGGCATCCAAGTGGGGACCTGGTGAATTCTGGACCTTGAATATTTTTCTTAGCTCCTCTGGCTGCCTGGTCCAAGGGCAAGGGCCAGTCATTCACTGCCATTAGCAGGGAGCTGGATGAAAAAGTAGTGATGACACCAGTTCTGCTTGCCTACCTACAGAAGTTAATAATCACCTCAACTGCCACCTTGCCATTTGGGCTCTCTGAAACTTGATGATGGGGCCAAAGAGGTGCCCACCGGGTGAGGTAATTCTGGTATGGGCAAATGTTTGTGCCCCCAGAGTCCAGGAATGACTGAGTGGGATCTCTTTCAGCACCTCTAGGAGAAAAGCAACAATGGCCAAATGTGAGAGCTTGGCAGACATCTTAGCTTTATGGAAATGTATTTATTATTATTTTAAAGATTTTGTTTATTATTTTAGGCAGAGGGGAAGGGAGGGAGAAAGTGAGTGAGAGAAACATCAATGTGTGGTTGCCTCTCACACGTCCCTCACTGGGGAACCTGGTTTGCAACCCAGGCATTTTCCCTGACTGGGAATCGAACCAGCGACCCTTTGGTTCGTAGGTGGGCACTCAATCTACTGAGCTGCACCAGCCAGGGCTTTATAGAGATTTTAGAAACCAACGAGATCTTGCTCTGTTCAGTGCTTTCTCATAGACTCTCAATGACCTCACAAACTGAGAAAGACAATTTTGGCCTTGTTATCCCCGTATTATAAAGAAACTGAAAAATTGCTAAAAGCTTCACTTAGGGTCTCTAGGCTGCTAGGAAAACACCGGAACCCAGTCGTCGCTTCCATCTAATGTTCCTTTCATCACCATGTACCAGCACTCAGCGTCAAAGGTGGGTCAGGCCCTGGCTGGTGTGGCTCAGTGGATTGAGTGTGAGCCTGTGAACCAAAGGATCGGGGATTTAATTGCCAGTCAGGGCACATGCCTGGGTTGTGGGCCAGGTCCCCAACTGGGGGAATCTGAGAGGCAACCACACACTGATACTTCTCACCCTCTCTTTCTCCCTCCCTTCCTCTCTCTCTAAATAAATTTTTTTAAAAGGTGGGTCAGGCCTAATCCATAGCCACAAAGTTCATGGTTGTGATCAGCATGAAGCTAGGGTAAACCACTAGTTTCTCTTTGACTCAAGATGAAACTCCTATTCTCTTTGGAGTGCTTGTGGCCTTCCAAATGTATGTGTGCGTACAGATAAACCCTTTAGGTGTACTACATTTGAGGTGTGTTTAATCTACTTTTAATTTATTCAATGATTGCTATTAAAATATCTGTGTAGTCTCAACACATTCAAGAGGATGGAAATCTACTGTGTTTGGAGAGAGCGGGAAGGGGCAGGGACCGTATCTCTTGTTCCCTAGCAAGACCCCACAAGTACATACCTAACAGTCATGTAATTTGGGGGACTCACTGCAAAGTAAAAGTGTGGAGCCCCTTGTTTGTCTAAACACTGTAAAGAATTTCAAGACCGCAACAGCAGAGCATCAAAATAAGCAAAGATCCCTGTGCAACTGTGCACGATGCATGCCCAGGAAGCAAGTCCTGTCCGTCGCTCAAACCGTGCTGCTTTGGAGATTGTGGGCCATGGTCCCAGGCCAAGGCAGGAAAAATCATTTAAAGACAGAGGGTAGGGAGAGAGGGACTCGCAGAGCTCTCCATCTCTCCATTTCTCTGTGCCAAAGCTTACCGGACTGGCAACCTCTACCCGAGTAACTATGGTCTGCAAGGGCTGGGGACTGGGCCATTCTCCACCTACATGAGAGAGATTTACTGAATTATTTTTAAGAATATATTTGGGGTTACCTTTTAACCCGAGAAAGCCTATCATTTTTACTGAAATGCAAACGTTTCTGGGCTGCGTTGGACTTAATCTTTCATTCTCTTTATGTACAAATGATTCCTTAAAAATGCTCGTCCCCTATAAAGACAAAAAAAAAAAATCCTAAGATTCACGGGAAACTGAAAAGCTTCTGCCATTCAGAACCTTGGCAAGGCACCTGTGCCGCTCTCACCCTCCCACCTCACGGTGTAGGGGTAGTTGGTCCTCTGAGCCCGAATCCCCTCCGGCCCTAATCGGAGTTCTGCATTTCCACTCTTCCTCCTCCTCCCACCCCCCCAGATTTTTAATCCAGGGGTTTGGTAGAAGGGAGGGAACTAAACGGGAGCCAGATGTGTGCGAGTCCTCCACTCCCGCCTCCTTCCTTTGCTCCGGCATCTTAAAACCCGGAGCTCTGACGAGAGAGGATCCGGAGCCACACAGACGCGGCACAAACAACTCAGCTCCGCAGCTCCCCCGGGAGTGGAAGCCAGGAGGGAGGGGGGCGGGCGGGATAGGAAGCCGGGCATGCTCAGTAGACGCGACAAAGTTTTTTTTTCTCTCCCTCCTCTCCTTCTCTCTCTTTTTTTTTTTTCGGTCTCAAGTAGGAAGCTTTTTGCACTCCACCACCTCTGGCCGCTGGGAAGACGTCATCGCTTCCGCCCTACTTCCTCCTCCTGTTGGCGGCGGTGAGAATCCAATATGGAGTAAATCGGTAGAGTCAAGAGATGGGGCTCGGACGGGGCGCCCTGCACCGCCTCTCAGGCGCACCTCCCCCGGCCTCCGACCGCTCCCTGGAACCGTGATTGGCCCGGCCCCCGGGGGCGACCCCGGACCAAGCCCCAACCCGCGACCGGCCCTCTTTTAGCAGTCCGTGCAGCTCCACGGCGCGTTTGTTTTTCTCCTCGTCTCCCTCACTGCCGTCCCCTGTCCAAACCTCTCCCCCTCCGCCTGCTCCCGAGCCCCTGGAGCCTCCGTCCGCCTCGCCCCTCGGCGCTGCGGCGCTGCTTAACCGTTGGAGCTTGCCTTTGCACCCCTTCCCCCAAACCACCCTGCGCCTCGGTTGTCCTGCTTCCCTTTCTGCCTTGTGCGGCGCCCCCTTCCCCAGCCAAATCAGGCGATCTCCGGAGATGTGAAGAAGGGGGGTGAGCGGACAGGAAGATGAAGGGAGCAAAGCTGCCCGCCGCGGGACAGGCATCTAGGTGAACAGGAAAATGACCGAAGAAACACACCCGGACGAGTAAGTTTGGTCGCGGGGTGGGACGCGTGTGCCCCGCAGGGGCAGCGTGGGGGTCGGAACTGAGGACGCCGGCAGGGACGCTTCTTGGGTGAACTTGGCGTGGAGTGCAGAGACTCCCTGGCCTGTGGGGTTTGGGACGCGAAATTTCCTTCCGTCTTGAAGTGAGGAGGGGGCAAAAAACTGCTGCAGGCGGACGGAGGTGTGCCTGGGGTCGGCGGGTTGGTGGCTACTGCAGGGGCCAAGGGCGCACTGGTGACCTCGAGGAGGTCCCCGCTCCCTCTCCGGAGAATTCAAACATCTACCACTACCCCGAAATCCTCAGCACCCTGAGCGGAAGACCTGTCATCCCTGCTTCTGACTCCTGGGGTAGGTGGGTTTTTACATGATGACTTTGTGACTTCCCGCCCCGCTGCTCGCCCTGCGGTTCTCCTGTCTGGAGCCCTCTCGGGCCCAGGCTCCGCCATTTCGTTTTCTTGAATCGCTCTCATTTGCATACCACATTTTCATTCATAAAAAACACGGCCTTGAGCAAGGGGAGAACTAGGCGCGAGCTCCGCGGGGGTCTGCGTGCGCCGGGGTCCCCGCGCGGGCCGGCATGCTGGAGCCGCCCTCGGGGTCCCGCTGCGCGTGCTAGTATGTGTGCACGCGCTTGTGGGCCAGAGACTGGCGCCCCGCAGGGTCTGGGTAGCTCGGGGGCGGATC